ATAGGGATCAAGATCCTTTGCAGTCATCCTTTTAGATATGGAACCGAGATCCCAATAGGTAGGGATCGAGATCCCCTTATGGGAGGAAGCAAAAACCACTCGGGGCTCAAGCTCCAAGATCGCCAGATCGAGATTCCAAGAAGGGAACACCACCCCTTGACCAAGATCCCCGCAACTATGAATTAGTCATGAATGGTCATCTTGTAGATGGTTTCTTTTCAATTGCAATAAAAAAATCCATTTCTTATGTCTCGTGTTACAATGATAACAATGATGAAACATATATATGGAACATGCATATATATGGAACATGAGACTAGGGCACGTAAATCCTAAAAGGATGGAGAGATTAACGAGAGAGGGATTACTAAACAATTTAAATAAAGACTTAACCAGAATCTGTGAATCATACGTTCAAAGAAAGCTGGGTAAGAAATCCTTTGCGAAAGCTCAAAGAGCTACTGGTATATTAGAAGTTGTCCATAGTGATATTTGTGGACCTATGAATGTGGCCACTAAGGGCTGAAAGAGGTACTTCATCACTTTCATTTATGATCACTCCCGTTTAGGCCATATCTATATGTTAAGTGAAAAGTCTGAAGTCCTAGATCGGTTCAAGGAGTATAAAGTTGAGGTGCAAACCCAAACAAACAAGAAAATTAAAGTCCTTAGGTTTGATAAGGGTGGAAAATATTCCTCATAGCTATTTAAAGAATCATGTACTACGCATGATATTATACATCAGTATACTATGTTGTACACTCCTCAACAAAATGGGGTAGCTGAGAGATGGAATAGGACCCTGATGGATATAGTGAGGAGCATGATGGGACATACTAAACTCTCTCTCAAGATTTTTGGGGAGAATTTGTTTTGACAGCCAATTATATCCTTAATCAGACTCCCACAAGAGATGCCCCACTAACTCCTCATGAGATTTTCATTAGTCATGCTCCGTCCCTTGATCACCTCAGAGCGTGGGGATGCTCTACCCATGTCCTAATACCCCATCAAAACATGACAAAATTAAATTCTAAAACTGTTGAGTCCATCTTCATAGGATACCCACCACATAATAAGGGATACCGTTTTTATAATCCTGACACTAGAGCCGTCCTTGAGAGTAGGGACGCTCATTTCCTTGAGGAAGAATTTCTCAAGGGTCGTGCCACTCTGAAACAAGACAAGTTTCATGAGATAGAAGAGGCACAAGTCAGGCCTTAGATCCCGAACCACCTTGTCCTAGAAAAAGTAACCGAATTAGGAGAAAACATGAGTTCTTCACCTGCCTAGGAGAATATTATGGGAAAATTGAAGAAGAATCCCTACATGAATCTTGTTCCCACCAAGAAGCCATAACCTGTCATGAAAAGGCACAATGGGAAGAAGCCATGATTAATGAACTTAACTCAATTAAACAAAAAAATATTTGAGAACCAGTGAAACTACCTTCTGATAGAAAACCCATAGGCTGCAAGTGGATTTATAAGAAGAAATTGAACTCCGAAGGAAAGTTGCCAAAATACAAAACCAGATTAGTTGCTAAGGGGTTTATCCAAAAAGAAGAAATATATTATGATGAGACATTCTCCCCTGTAGCAAAATTCTCCTCCATTAGTATCCTAATAGCCATAGCAACTCATTTCGACTTCGAACTCCACCAAATGGATGTTAAGATTGCATTGCAAAATGGAGAGCTAGAAGGAGAAATTTATATGAAACAACCAGAGGGCTTCATAAAAAAGGGAAAATAAAACCTAGTGTATAAACTCTCCCTTTATGGCCTTCAATAGATATCAAGACAGTGGTACATTAAGTTTCAGGAGACCTTGTCATCAGCTAGTTTTGAGCCTAACTAGCTATATATCAAGGTCAGTGGGAGTGACGATTTCATGACACATGTAAATGACATGTTAATTGCCAGTCGGTCGATGAGTCTCGTATTGGAGACAAAAGCTTTCTTGTCATAGGATTTTGGAAAAGCAGCATATGTTTTGGGAATCAAAATTACCCGAAACAAAAAAGAGAGAACTATTCAATTATATCAATAGACATATTGTAAGAAAATTCTCGAAAGTATATGAAAAAGAAAATTGTCGGACCATATTAACCCCCATTGAGAAGACCAAGCTTAGCCTAGCCATGTCTCCCACTACTCAAGAAGAAAAAGAAGCCATGCAGAGAATTCTATAAAAAAGTGCAGTTGGGTCACTAATGCATGCTATGTTAGGGATTAGACCGGATATATCTTTTGCCATGAGTTTGATTAGCAGGTTCTAGAGTAATCCAAGCATGGAGCATTGGAAGGCCATCAAATTGCGAAATTTGAAAGAAACTGTTGATTATGCACTCATTTATGGAGGAGACTCAGATATACAGATATAAGGATATTCAGATGCAGATTATCAGGGCAACCCAGATGAGATGGAGCTTATGGAGGAGACTCAGATATACAAATATACAGATTATAAGGAACTGTTGATTACGCACTCACTTATGGAGGAGATTCAGATATACAGATTATAAGGATATTCAGATGCAAATTATCAGGGCGATCCAGATGAGATGAAAGGAACTGTTGATTATGCACTCACTTATGATGGAGACTCAGATATACAATTATAAGGATATTCAGATGCAAATTATCAGGGCGATCCAGATGAGAAGCAGATTATCAGGGCAATCCAAGTGGAATTGTTTCTTGGTACTCAAAGAAACAAGATCTTGTTGCAGTCTCAACTATGGAGTCAGAGTACGTGGCATGTTGTCTCGCAGTTAAAGAAGCAGTCTGGTTGAAGAAGTTCTTGAATCAACTCATATTTGATCCAATGAATTGCCCGTGTGTCTGAATCTACTGTGACAACCAGACAGCTATTTGTGTGTCAAAAGAGTCGAGGTTTCATAAGAAATCGAGACATATAAAGCCATGCTACTACCACATTCGCAATAAGATCCCGGTAGGAGATTCAGATTACATATCTCCCAATAGAGGATATGCTAGCAGATACTTTAGCAAGAAATTGGTGGCAAATGTTTTTGCCAAACATGTACATAGGATGCACCTGTAGAGTGGAGTGCCTTATTATCATTAATTCATAAGAAAACAATAGTGGATCATGGTTTCTGGGGCGACTGAGTGCCCTTATTATAGTTAATTTTTACTCTTTAGTATCAGTCCACTTCTAATATATTTTATTTTGGTATTAGAAATGTTTTTATGATTTTTAAATATTTTTAAAATTTAAAATATTATTTCTGCTGTATTATTCAACAAAAGCATATTTCTGAAATTTTCAGAACTTAACGTAACACATATAGGACCAAAGATCCCTCCCCATGTGTGTGTGCTTTTTTTTAAGAGGGGGACCACGTGCCACCCCTAGGAGGGCCACGCCACTTTTTAGCAAAAATGGGGATGCCACTATTTTAGCAAAAAGTCGCACACCACTTTTCTACGAAAAAGGGAGGCACATCCCATATTTTCTTATATTTGGTTAAACGATAGGAAATATTTTTTAAATAGGATTTGGTTTCGTATCCTATGGGAGTTTTAAAATATAGATATCCTTAATTTACAGGAGATCTAGATTATGATAAAATTTGGTTATAATTCAAATTTAAATAAGAGTTGGATTTGGGTCAAAATCTAAGGGGATAAGGATCCTATTTTCTACCCAAAATCATGATGACTAATTCTTGAGATGGATGGATATGATTAAATCTCTCTTACCCCATGGGGTTTCTACTTATCCCAAAGGTCAAAAAAATACAGAGACTTAGATTAGAATCCTATTTGAAGTAGGACTTAGATCTTGTTTCTATTTCACAAGATTTGAACCGTCTCACTCATGACAACTAGTTTTCTCTCTCATGCCCCAAGATCTCTATCTATCATGCCATATTTTCTACTTCTCTCTTTCATCAAATTTAAACCACGTGATCTCCTCTTTTGACTTAGAGAGAGTCACGCCACGCTCTCTCCTCTTATTTGAGTAATTTCTATCAAAAAAAATAAAAGAAAAAAAGGTGGGACTTTCAAATCCTAAGGGATGCTTGCTGTATTTTGAAGAAAAGAAGGGTGACAACCAACCTAGAGAGAGGTCAACTCACAAGCTCAACCCCAATTTCTTCCCATAGAGTTTTTATAAACCTTAGTTTATTTTGGAGCTCTCTAAAACCTTAGAAAAAGAAAGATTGCCTAAAAAGCATTTCTATCTCAGAATTTCCAACAGTTAAAGGAATAAAAGTGCGCCATCAATCAGAGAATTAGATGTCGGGTGTACCAAGACCTGTGAGGGTTACTCTAGGCATCTTCTAGTAGGTCTTCTTAGTAGTTTTAATTAATTTTTAGTATTATGAACTTGCATTGTACTAAAAATTATAGTGGAAGTTTGTTTAAAGCTCCTGGATAGTTTCTATTTCTTTGGCAATGAAAATAAAGATCTTAAGTTGTATCTAGGGTATTATTTTAATTTTACAGCAACATACAATGGCTCATGTAAGTGGAATTTAGGTAATTTTGAATAAAAGTAAAAGCCAAAATTTTGAAAATATAATAACTGAAATTTAGGTATTACCTAGACATGATTTTCAAATATAATACACATGTATCATTGCATCCGTGCAAAAAGTAACAATAACTTGGTCCAGCATTACATGAGAACTTTGCAAGAACAATAATTTTGGTTTATCTAACCAATCAGGTGATGAGAACTTTAGTTTTGCTCTTTGGACTTTTCCTGGTGCAATGTAGCGCATGTAGTAAAAGCCTCCTATATCTAATGCACTTTGTGCACAGAGATTAAAATCTCAAACAAAGCAGCAGATCCATGGACCTTCCTACAGATATCCACAGTGGTAAATATATCTAACCAATTTTCAGTCGTATTCCGACAACAAGAAAATGAATTTTTTCCATGAAAATACACCCAACTATCATTAGTAAAAAATCCATATCCATTAACAAAAAATGCGCAATAAATAAGGCACATAGTACGTACTTCTTTGGATCTTTCAATAATGGGAAAACCTCCAATGAGGGTACAAGATGCAGCACACCAATGTTCAGCGCAGCACTTGCATCAGAACGAAGAGTATCTCCCCGTGAATATGGCCTTTCAAAACCTCCGAGACCTGTAGTTCCTGGTGGAGCCATCGGGACCGGAGCCAAAATTTCAGTTCCTCTTTGTACAAATTTTTCCATCCACGATATCTGCATGAGGCATCCCAATATCCTTCTTCATCCAAAGTTGTGGAATAAATCTTGACACCCAAAGAAATAAAATACTAACGACAACAGCAATAACAATCTTAGATCCTAGTGCAAGCTGCAGAAATGCATTGAACTATTTCTATCAAACATGAAGTGAGAACAAAAACCAGAAAGGACTGATGTGCCACTGTTACAGTTGTGAGATTAGGCCTTTATTATAGTAAAGCTTAGAGCTTCCACATGACATGAAAATAACAGAACTTGCATTTGGAAGAATACCACAGAAATGAAAGCACACTGCAATGAAAAACCTTTTCATTAAGATCCCCCAATGGTGGTCCATGAATCTTCCCTCCCACGTATGGAGCACCCATAGGAAATCGTTCCACAAATTGATGGGCCATCAAATCCTCAAGACCATGCTTATCATAGCTCATGAATGCACCCAGAGCTCCTAAGAACCCTTCATGTCGCAAAAACATAGCCTGAGCCTCACCCTTTGACCTGAAAAAGAATATATGCACAATAGAGCACAAACGTATAAGGCAAGGATTACGAAATAGGAGGCAGAACGAAAAAAAGTAGAACTCAGAAGTCTCATCCTAGTGCTAAGAGAGAGAATTTTACATAAAGAAGTTAATAAAAGAAAACATCCAACCCAAAAACTTATAACTCAAAAATGAACACAAAGTCATAGGTTCATGCAAAGAAAATGGCAATAGCAAACCAACAAAGAAAAGGGAAAAGAAGGAATATAAACATTAGTAGTGATCACCACATGAAGAACAGCAGAAGTAGATCATAAGAAGTTGGCAATGTTGTATCTCAGTAATTACCAGAAGTGAACTGCAAAGGAAATTGTGTCCATGGTATATGCATGACCACGAATGAAAAATCCTCCAAAAAAGATCCGATTGAGCCCATAGCGAAGTGCGTTCAAGTAGGAAATCTAACATTAAAGAAATTGAATTAAATATTGGGACAAATACAAACAGACCTTTGCCCTACAGTAGCCTTTCAACAGTGCTGAATTAGATTTACATAAAATATTTACATCATAAACTCCTTTTAAATATTGAAGTGTAGAGACTCTAAGGCCACTCCACAAAGTCAGGCATGAATCGATACAGTTCCAACAGGAGGTCAAAAAAAAATTGAATAAAGCAGCAATAAACCACAATTAAATTCAGTATAATGACGTAATCTTTACAATACCAAATGTCATACTTACGATAACAATAACATCCACTGAATATCACATTATTCTCAATTCCCGAGTACCCATTGAACAAACACTGAAACCGATCTCAGGTTATTACAAACCAATTTAACAGAAATAGCTCAACAAAAAATTGAGCTCACCTGTCCTATATTGTAGGAAATCATTCGTAAGAGAGATAGAGAAATGTCTTCTGGTCTGTACTCAGATAGATCTTTACTTTCTGATATCACCTTGCCAAAACTGGAAGCAATAGTTGATGCTGAAAGACCAATCTGTGAAGGAAATATAGGGTTTGGTTAGCATGAGAGAAAGTAGACCAAATTAAGCATGACAAATTTCCACAGTATGCATGAAGATACAAGTAAGAGGATGACAATGTCCCTAATCCGCTCTCATTTATAGACACCTAATCAGTTCACAGGAATCAAATGTTGTCTCAAATATTCAATTAATGCATCCTGCACAACTTCAAGACACAAAGAACAACTGAACGAGACCTCAAACAAGTAAAACCAGCAGTTCCTCATGTGACTGCCACCTCCTCCTTAATTGCTAGAAATCAAAATCCCCATTCCATAGCTTAATTAAAAATCCCTTTAATCATCACTAAATCTAAAGTACCCCCACCAATTAAACATCAAAAAAGAAAAACCCCACAAACAAGGGAATTTTTTTCCTTCTATAAAACCATGGAAACTCCAGCATTTAACAGCTCCCTTTCCTGATCATCCAGCACAGGCATGATACAGATACCCCAGAAGCACCTATGGGACCCTCTAGACGTTCCTGCACCATGGTAGAAGCCACACCAGTTATTTCTATGCATTGAGCTCATCGAGTTGTTTTCTCCACAGGTTTCTATGTAAAAGTCTTAACTCGAAAGAAAGTAAAACCACACTGAGGACTGTCTCAGGTGCAGCGGGAGTAGACAACATGAGCATCCTGGTTCAGCTATCATAAACAGACTGGCTACTCTAACTGCTTTATAGTAACTGCTCTATCTAAGCTTTCTTGTACTAAGCACCCAGCCTGTGGGATGCCTTAACTCATGTCTTGTGAGTCCTTTTTGTAACAATTTATTATATAGAAATATATTGTCACTTTCATCGGGAAAAAAAAAAACCGTAGCCATGCTAGTTAGCTGTATCAAAACAAGAAAACCACTAGAAGAAAATAAAACCAAAGATACTCCTAAAATTGCAAAAATAAATAAATCTCCAGGATTAGGATAATCTTAGAAGGCAACAAATAAGAAGCGGGTCAGATACCCAAAGGCTCTTGCCAGCGAGTCCAGAATTGCAGTAATTTGATCCCATGTAACTCTCAAGTACACTGTGGTTTCTACCAATAAACAACTGAAACAACAAAAAATACAAGAAAATATGAGTACCTTGGAATAATCCATCCCACCATATATGTCTCCAACAAGCATGTCCACAGCACTATTATCACCACGCTGACTTAGTTCCAATATTTCATCGAAACTAGCATAAGAAATTCATGTCAGACTCCAAATCATTCAAATAATTCAAGCCAGATGGTTAACAAAATCCCAAAAATGGGTGACATGCTACCTCTTGCATTTAGTGAGAAGCCTTCCTAGGCCCCAGAAAGTACCACCTCCAACATTTGTCCCACTAACCCGTTGAAATTTCCCATATCCATCTACCTGCATTCAGGCTGGAGATACATAAAACTTCACACCAGATGCTATTGAATAGTACACTAGCAAAACAAGGGAGATGATATTCAGAATGGAATATGTAGGTACCTTGATCATACTAACACCAGAACCTACATTGACAAGAAGATAGGGGAACAAGTCATTATGATCAATCTGTACAAACTCCTTGTGGCCTTCCATATGCGTGAAAGCTTCATGTCGGATTGCCTGATCAAACAAAGCACAGTCACAACTTCGGCGAACCATATCTAGGTAGACAAGACAAAAATGATGACAGAGAATTAAAAAGGAATTAACAATAATAATTGCCATTAAGAACAAACAACGGCCCGCAATAAAGCATGCATAACGTTCTATAGTATGCAGGACAGAGTCTCTTGACAAATACCACATCCAAAAATCCAGGGGTAAATGCAAACCATTTGAATCATGTGCCATCATGCAAATAGTTTCACCATCGGTCCCATAAAACATTGCAGCAAAGAGAAAAAAAAAATTTATCACTCTCAACACATGGGAACCATTCACACCGCCAAAACCAACACTTCGTTAGTGGTTTCAAAGCAATCCTAGTGACAAATCTATTTGCCAAACCAACAGCCATTCTAACAGCAGTTTCGAAGCAAATAAAAAATATGCTTATTGGGGGCCAAAGTCTATTTCTAAGTTCCTAATATTCTTAAACAAGAACGTTATTGTGAAGAGACCCTAAGCAAGATGGTTTGTAAGATGGGATAAAAGGGTTCGAACCTCCAGTGGTCCTTTGGTTCCCTAGTTGGAGTTTGTGGATGTCTAGTTCGAATTTGTGGATGTCAATACAACAATTCGGTGTGCTTAGCAGAATCCCTAGCCTCACCTCAAGGTTTAAGTTAGGGCATGAAATGAATGCTAAGGAAAAATGTGTACTCTAGGAAGACGAAGAATATGGTGCTCAAGGCAAAGACTGACATACTCAATGAGTTGGCTAGAGTAGTTGGTGGCATGACATTTTCATGCTTTATACCTAGGGCTGCTGTTTGCCTATGGGAAAAACTAGCAGCCTTGAAACCCAGTTCAAGAGTGGACAACAGGGTTTATCAAAGGGAAGAAAAGTGTTGGGGTTTGTGAACCTCAAAGCCCGTGAGAGCATATAAAATTAATAAATATAGTGAATTGTGCCTTTCAGTGGGGAGTATACGTTGGTTGATTGACCTAGGGTGCGGGGTCTATGGCCTGTCGTGTCCAAAACAATATTTCGGTATAGGCACTACTATTGAGAATTTTCTAGAAGATCATCCCTTGTTGAGGTCAGAGAGATGCCCAGGGATGATTTACAGGCCAGGAGAGCTTTATGATCTCCTGTGTGTGGTTGCAGGCTTTTGAGAGCAAAAGCCAAATCCTAAACAAACTTCCACATGCTATGTACATATGACAGCTGCACAATGGGAAGCAACCCTTACATGTAAATGTGCATAGAGAGGTCCCTTTGAACTATAGTGACACATGCATATGACTTGCTTTAGGGGGAAACCTGTAATTAACATTCTAGTTGAGACATTGTTTATTACAAGTGCATAGAGAGCGCTATTAGGAAAAATTTTATTAAGAATACTCCATGGGTTGAATAGATTACATCTCCAAAAATTACAGTCATAAACTTAATCCTAGATTTGGTTTTACTCGAGGAACTAAGTAGACAATATACTCTCACTGGAGCACAAAATTTATGAGAAAATAATATTGTCCTGCAAAATTCTACATTCTGCTTTTATTTTATTTTTCTAATTTATATAACAAGTATCCTATTTGTATCAATGTTAAGTTGATGAACACAGGTATGCTAACACATGGAGCCCTCCATCTTTGGGATATTGTTCAAAATTTTAAAATTTGTATTTATGCACTAAAACTCTAAAAAGAGATATCCTGACATTTTCGAGAGTCGTGGGGGCATTGTGGGATCCACATGGGAGGCCAAGCGCTCAACCCCTCACATGAGGGGATCCACTCCAAGTGGGACATTGGGCCCACATGCCCCACATGAGTGGAAAGCCCCACTTGCTTCTAAGATTTCATGGGCCTTAAAAGGAGGAAAGATCTCCCACTTGATATTTGTTGTTAAGATTTTGATAGATTTAATCGGTCGAAAATATTCAAGAAATCTTTGAAAATTGAGCAAGAACTTTTGACTTCGAATTTCTACAATCTCTTTGTGAGAGAAAAAACATTCTAGTCAAAACAAAAGATGAGATCTGACTGGTCTTACCCTAAATGGATTAGAAGTGGATATGAGTCAAAGAATCAGGGGATATATGTAACAACATTAATTAAAATAAATACAAAAATAAATAAATTAATCATCATATATTAGTAATGATAATAATACTATACCGTTAGGATATTGTTGCTTTTATATTAACAATAAATAAAAGATATCATTGCTAGTATACTTGAGGGTCCAATTTTACTTGGGTGGACCTTAGGTCCACCACCTTAAAGGTTTATAAGAACACTCATTTAAACGACACCTTGCATTGAGGTGTTTCTTTTTTATACGTCTTTTTCTCTCTCTCCTATGCACATCTCTTTTAACAAATTTGTTCCCACCCTCTCTCTAAATACAAAAAGTGGCTAGAATCAATAGTGATTGATGGCAGCAAGAACCTGTGAATAGCATTAATGGCGTTCCATCCTACAAATTGAAATCAGTGGATAGAAAGTCATTTGGGTTCTTTCCTTTTTCTCTGAATTTGAAATATGATCAATCGTAGAAAAGCCCCATTCAAAAAAAAAAAACAAAACAGAAGACTAGTTTTCTTAGCTCTATCTGCTTCCCCAGTTTCGGAGTTAAGGTAAGTGACATCATCTTCTTGAAAAATAGTCTGTTTTTAATAAATAGTGATATTTCCATCCAAGATCTTTATTTTATAAGCTTTGTGTGTAAGTGACATTATTATCTTGAAAAATAATCCATTCTTTTTAAAAATTAAATGAAATAATTATTTATGCTATTATCATGAATTTCAGGCGCGATAAATTTTATGCGCACGCGACCTCATTATTTTGAAACATAACCTTTTTAATAAAAATTGTGATAATTTATCTATGTTAGAAATTTTGAATGCTGTAAATTATTAGAAATAAATTTATTTATTTTTCTTGTCTATTGTTAGAAAATTTTAGATACTGTAAAATTATTAGAAATAAATGTGATATTCTGCTTTTAGTAAAATTGTGATATTTCTTTCTACTGTTTTTGTAATATTTAGATATTGTAAAAATTCATGTGCAAATGACTGCCTTATTATTTAAAA